GATTTTATTTATTTATTCAAGAGAGAGAGAATGAGAGATAGAGAGCACGAGAGGGAAGAGGGTCAGAGGGAGAAGCAGACTCCCCGCTGAGCAGGGAGCCCGATGTGGGACTTGATCCCGGGACTCCAGGATCATGACCCGAGCCGAAGGCAGTCGCCCAACCAACTGAGCCACCCAGGCGCCGAGTGTGATAAAATAATTTATATTTTTTTCTTTTACTATAAATAATATTCCGTATCTTCTTTTCAAAATAATATATTTGTGTATGGCATTTACTCATGAATGTCAAAGAACTATATAAAAGATAATTCCCACAACATTTCTTGGTAGAGGAATATGAGACGAAAAGTTTTAAAAGAATAAAGTTGCAACTCTCATACAAATATAAAATCGACATGTGTCAAAGATTTTTATTTCATTAATATTTAACTCAGTAAGGAAGAAACCAGTAAGATATTACAACCAGTTCAAAAGAGGGCTCAAATCTCCTGTATGAGGAATTCCAAATAATTTACGCAGATATCCCCCACTCAAAAATGTGGATACTAACACTCCTTGAGTATGGGCTGTGTTAAGGGATTTGCTTCCAAAGAGCATATTGTGGAAGGGGGAGGAAGGCTTAACTTTATACTGGAGAAACCTGGCAAACACCACCTTAGCCAGGTGATCAAGGTTAATATCATCAGCAAAAAAGACATGTTGTCTGCATGTACCCCTGATATGATGTAATGAGAATGGCACTTCAACTCTGTGATCATCCTTCAAAAACCCATAACCTTGGTCTAATCATGAGAAAATACCAAATTCCAATAGAAGGGCATCTTACAATGTAGCTGACCAGTATTCCCCAAAACTGCCAAGGTCATCAAAAACAAGAAAAATCTGAGAAACAGCCAAAGCCTGAGGAAACATGATAACTAAATGTAATGTGGTATCCTGAATGGAATCCAGAAAAAGGATTTAGTGGAAAAATGAACAAAATCTGAATAAAGGATGGAGTTTAATTAACATACCAGTGCTGTTTCCTTAGTTGTGACAAACATACCATAGTAATTTGAGATGTGAATAAAAGGGGGAATTGGGTGAGGGGTATATAAAAACCCTGTACTATTTTTGCATCTTTCTACAAATCTAAATCTGGTGTGCAATTTAAAGTTTATTTTCAAAAGAGAGAGAAAACTCAAGGTGCTATACATGTATGGTCAGGAAAGGAATGCTGAAATGAATTTACAAAGGGATGCAAAACGGGCAAAATCAGTCAGCATCCACAGAGTAATAATCAAATTTTACATTTTTATGGACAGGAATGATTTGCTTACGATTTGTGTTCAACAAGTTAACTTCTATCTCTAAAGAGTTGTAAGACAGCCTAGTCAGAGACAAATCCTATATAGCCGTATAGGACCAAAGGAATCCCCAGAGGCTCCAGCATTCCCTTAAAAGGATATCTAGAAATCTCTTCTGCCCATTCAAAATTTTCCATAGTTTTTTTCCTACAAAGGATGCAGGTGTCCAAATTATAAAAAGCCCTTACAGGAGTGCCTGGTTGGTGCAGTCAGTTAAGCATCTGACTCTTGGTTTCGGCTCAGGCCGTGATCTCAACGTCGTGAGACTGAGTCCTGCATCGGGCTCCCTGCTCAGCGTGGAGTCTGCTTTAGTTTCTCTCTGCCTCTCCCTCTGCCCCTCCCCCTCCTAAAATAAATGAATAAATCTTTAAAAAAAAAAAGCCCTTACAACAGCTGGCCTGACTTGACAAAATGGCTAACATGAGTTTACAAATATTCAAACGGTTATGCAATGCTTTGCTAAGTTATTACAATACTATGGACAGAAAAATAACCCAAAGATCAAGATAATTTATCAGCCTACCAGGGGGAAACCGTACAGACTGCCAGATATCCATCACTGCCTTAGAGTTAAAGCACTTGCAGTATCAAGTTACTTAGGCAACACACCAGCAAATGGTGCAGTAACAAAATAATTTTAAAAAGCAGTTGAACAAAAGAAGAATCAATATCACGTTCCAAACCCCATCCCCTACCTGGTTGTACAAATTATTCATGTTAAAGATAGACTCAGCTCTTAGGTAGGGAACTGTCATTTTCCCAGGCCTCGTACTTCTATATAGAGGGGCTTCGACTGGATTAACATTCCTGGCCTCGGTTTCTGCCTGTGTAGGAATAGACTCCACGACAAAATATATACCTGCAGTTTGGAGCATTTACCTTTGGACTTTTTGTTTCAGGCTCTTATTTAAATATGTTTGTTTCCTCTTTCCTCACAGTTTTAATGCATGTGGCAAGTGTCTTAAAGCCAGAATCCACAAGGATCTTTCCAACCTCAGTTTCCTGTGTGCTGGTAGAAGAGTGACTATCTTATAGTAAATTAGTTAAGAGACTTTTGAATGTGACCTAGTATACATGCTTGAACGCAAGGGCAAAGGTGTCGATCATGTCCTATGTGAGAATTTCCACTCTGTGTCACAGCAATATTTATTATAAATGAATTAGTATTCTGGTTCTACCCCAATTCATGTGCATTTTAGTTAGTGTGAACTAATTTCTCAGAACCTGATCACCTCACTAACCACTGAAAAAATTAAATCTTGGAGCTTTCAAGTGGGGGGCTAGATTTCTCCCAGCCTCTGTAAGATTAAAACATCTACCTCGGGGCACCTGGGTGGCTCAGTCAGTTAAGCATTTGCCTTCGGCTCAGGTCAGCGTCCTGGGATTGAACCCCACATCAGGCTCCCTGCTCAGTGGGGAGTCTGCTTCTCTCTCTCCCTCTCCCCAGTTCATGCTCTCTATCTCAAAAAATAAAAAATAAAGTCTTTTTTAAAAAAAACCGAACTCTAAATCAATCACTGTACCATATCAGACGGCCTAGAACACATTCCTACATAACCCACTAACCGTACAGTCCCCTTTTAGCATTGTAACAGTTCAAGAACTATTCCTGCTCAGTGATTTCTTGCCTACTCTTATGTTCTTGTTCAACCACCACCCTCCACTAGAGCCAACTTACTGATGCACTTCACCTTTTACTTCTTTTTTTTTTTAAGATTTTATTTATTTATTTGACAGAGAAAGAGAGAGAGCACAAGCAGGGGGAGAGGCAGACAGAGGGAGAGGGAGAAGCAGGCTCCCCACTGAGCAGGGAGCCCAATGTGGGGCTCGATCCCAGGACCCTGGGATCATGACCTGAACCGAAGGCAGACGCTTAACCGACTGAGCCACCCAGGTGCCCCTCACCTTTTACTTGACTTGAAGGAAATTGTACAACGTGCGCCACCTCAACATTACATATGATATGAGAGAAAATTCCAAAGTGAAGTAAACATTGGTAAGAGAATCCCTCAAAAATAGGGTCAGGGAGTATGGAAGAAGCAAGGCATATGCACGTCTGTTTCAATTTTTGGAACACCCTGGACTTTTGACTTTTGTCAATTTCACCTCTGCCACCTTCTAGAACATATCCTTCTACTTTGGACTGGAATAGAGATAATGTAACCTCTATCAGCCAAATAGTCCATTGTTTATTAGATAGTTTAACTCTGTCGGCACCAATCACAATTCAATCAAAGGAAGTCATATAACCTCCTGGGCTTTGCCTTTATACGTCTGCACTTTCCACCTACAATTCTCAACACATTTTCAATTTCAGTCCACTCTGTGGCTCCAGGACTGTAATCCCTAAGACCCCAAAATAAATGCTCCTGGCTGCTTTACAGCCTCTTCTTCTTGCCTGACAATGGGTATAACTGTTTTATAACAAAAAGTGATGTATCTGTGAAGACTGCTGCATATTATATCATCTCAGCACTCCAGGCAAGAACCACTGTTTATCTATTTGTTTTCAATTTACCCCACTGGGACTTACTGATAAAATTCTATTTTCTTTACTCCTAGTGCTTTATGTTTATTCACATTCTATTATTTTATTGCATGTATGTCTTGCCTTCTTAAATTCTTTGTGGAAAGAGACTAGAAGGTCAAAAAATAAAATACAGAAAGGAATACTTTAGTGCCTACTCTCTACTGCCCTCTGCAGGTGGAAGGAAAGAATAAGTGAGTCACAACCTATACTACCTGCAGTAGTGTCCAAGAGATTCTCACCTAACAGAAAGGTTTAAAGCAACCGGTGACTTTTGAGAGATTAACCATTACCAAGCAGACTCCACCTATTCACAGGACGGATGTCCCAATTTGCTAAAGTCCCTTCACCGTGGAAAGATCTCTAGGAACCATATATCCTATTTTCAAGAAAACTTGCTGTCTCCTGTACTCATATACAAATGCACGTCATAGTCCTCTCTTACTCTGGGTCAAGGCTAAGAGCCTTTATGTCAAATTCCCTTACAGCCCTGTAAAACTTGAGTCCGGGAGTGAAGAGAAAAGAGATTCAATAGTTATAATGACACAAAGGCACAAACAATGCAACTTGTCTGTGCTTTGCCGACAAATGTCAACGAACGCAGGAACCCCTGCAATGCAGCAATCAGAGATAATGGGAGATTTTGCTTTTGGTTTTTACAGAAAGTGTAAAGCAGCCTGCAAGATGACCAGCAAACAGGCAGCGTCCATTTTGTGTAGAAAGGACCGTTGATTATGCATGGGTTATTTTCTTCAGTCACACTACTTTATATGGATAGCAACACTGTCAGTGATGTCATCTTCCAAAACAACAGGCCCGAATGTATAGGCATATTGTGCCAACTGAGCCCAAATCAATGACCTGAGTAATGTAATCATGGTAGCACTATTATTCCTCATCTAAACCCTCCAAGCCCAAAGAAAAATAATGCTAATCTGATGCATATTCAAGGAATAGGTTATGTGGGAAAGAAGATCAAACCTTTGTCTAATTTTTATTTACATTCTAATATGTATTTACAGGAAACCCCACAAAATTTAGCATCATTATGTGCATCAGAATATGTCATTTTATTTTTGCATTAGAGCAGGTTAAAAAATTTATTAACAATGACACACTCTCTTGGATAAGAATATTTTTAGCGAGGATATTTTCTAAAGAACTGCACTCCAAATGTGCATTCACATAGCATACCAACATTTTTCCAAAACTGCAGCGTCAGAATAATTTATAGCATTCCTGACAGACGAGATATCATTGTTTTATTGATAGGAGTTAAGGAAATTTTTGAAAGATTTATAGCTTTTAGTTCCATTTCTGCTTGTTTTATGATTCAACTGATTCATTCTATTTACCTACCTTCATAATGGGAATAAGGACTTAAGCAGATTTAAAATTTCTCAACGTCTGGAAACAAGCTTTCTGAGCTATGTTTCTTTAAACGGTGTGTATGGAAGAGATCTAATGAGTCTTTCCACTCGTTTAAAGTATACACTGAGCGCTCTCTACAAAGTTGGATAGGTTCACCGTAGGAGTCAATACATTGTCCTCGAAGACCACACATCCGGGTCACCTTGGAGCAAGGCAGAGGCCCCGCCCCCCTAGGGGTGGTGCCACGGGCCCGTAGAACGTCCCGCCGCCATGATCCGCCACGTCCTCCCCGCGCGCTGGAGGCGGAGCCTGCGCGGCGCGATCCTCGAACGAATCGGATTGCAACGCGGGTTCAAACCATGTCTGAGAGCGGCCGGATACCTCACGCCCGGGCGCTTCTGCAGCAGTGCCTGCACGCCAGGCTGCAAGTACGTCCAGCCGAGGGAGACGCCGAGAGCCAGTGGGTGGAGGTAACGTCAGCCCCTCAACTCGCGGTACCGCGTGCAGGGGCGGGCCTTCCTGCGTTCTTTTGGTAATCGGCCTCCCCCCCCCCCCCCCCCGTCTCCCTCCGCGCTGGCGGTGCGTGGCGCCCGCACGTGCTGTGGGCGGTGCGGACTTACGCTCAGCCCACCCACCTCCTCCCGCAGAGGCCTGGGGGCCCTGGCCCTTCCCTTTCTTCCTCAGACTTCTTCCGCCGGCGGGAGAGCGTGTACCTTGCTTAGGACCGCGGGAATTTGAACTTCGTCTCACCTTCTGCCTACCTGAGCTTGGTGGACTTGAGGCCTAATTGTCTCAGATCTCTTGCTTCAAAAGAGCGAGGGCCTTGCCACGTCCTTTGCTTTGCTCGGGCTGCTGGTGGCTAGGGCTGGTCTGGTTCGAGCTTGTAGGTTAGATTAGTTGCTAACGTTCAAGACCTGTTTTGACTTGTGCTCCAGATCCTGTGGAATTCCCTCTTATGTAGACTGCAGCTAGGTACAGAAATGAGACTTCCCGTGAAACAATTCTTTTTTCAAGAAACTTAAAAATTTTACGTATTTGCAACCAGAAACAAAGACTACTACTTTTATTATAACGTGTTGTTATTGAACACAGTTCCTCCGAAGAATTTAAAAAACACACCGATAGAAGTTCCTTCCACTTTAGTATTTGCCCTTTTTTTTTTTTTTTAAAGATTTTATTTATTTATTTGACAGAGATAGAGAGGGAGAGCACAAGCACGGGGAGAGGGAGAGGGAGAAGCAGGCTTCCCGCTGAACAGGGAGCCCGATGTGGGGCTCGATCCCAGGACTCTGGGATCATGACCTGAACCGAAGGCAGGCGTCCAACAACAGACCCACCCAGGCATCCCTAGTATTTGCCCTTTAAAGACAGCCTGCCCCAAGTCTATGCAAAAACAGAATGTTCTTTAACGCCCCTGACCTATTTTTGGAGTAAGTTAAAATGAAGAAAAATTAGTTGATAATTAAGGCTTTTGGAGATACTCGAAAACTTAAAGTAGGAGCATCTTTTTCACTCAGTCCCAGATGTAGTATTCAGTCCCAGATGTAGCATTCCTTAACACAGTCCTAGTCATTATGTTAAATATTACTGATAAACTACGATATGTGGGTGGTTATTCTTAAATCAGAATCTATTACTCTTCTAATTTAGAAATGTTTATAAGCACAAATATTCCTATATTTCCCCTACCCATTTCTTTCTCAAAAATTCATGTTTCTTGTTTTTGTTATGCAACCCCCTTTTTTGAGGTCTTGATTTCTCTTCTGTATTGTGGAATTTTGTTCTTTTCATATTTGTCGTCCTATCCAAAGAATTGCCTATTTTTATAGTTAAATCTTGGGGCTATAAATTCCAAACTATTAATCATTTAGATTTCTTCCATTTTTTAAATCTTTTTAATATTCTTCATGCCACAGTTCCTTATGCAAAATCATACTTTATTGCAGCCTTCCAAACTATCGGTTTGTGTTGATAAACTCTAAAAGCTATTCTAAAGCTTTCTATTTCACTCCCACACATAGCTAAATTAGTATAAAGAACTGACAGATAGTGAGAAAGTAAATTTTTTCCTCCTTTTCAAACATCCTCTTCCCTATTCTATTAAAAGTTATAATTTTTTTAAAGTAATATTGTTTTGTCAAAAAATTTGAAGGTTACTTTGTGTGCTCAGTTTTATTCATTTAGACCATTGCTGTCACAGGCTAATGTTTTTCTTCCCGAAAAGGTGAACATTTTAAAATTATGGTGAGAGGGCTGCCTGGGTGTTTCAGTTGGTTAAGCCTCTGACTCTTGGTTTCAGCTCAGGTCATGATCCCATGAGTGGTGGGATCCAGCCCTGCATTGGGCTCAGAGCTAAGCAGAGTCTGCTTGAAGATTCTCTCCCTCTGCCTGTCCCCCTGCTCCTGCATGTGCTTGCTCTCTGTCTCTGCTCTCTAAAATAAATAAATAAATCTTAAAAATTAAAAAAAAAAAACAACTATGGTGAGAATTATATGTAATTTCCTATATATTTAAAATGTTTTCTACCAAAAGAAGCTAAAAGAAAAGTGGTTCTGACTTGAAGAGGGGAATTTGTAGGACACAACTTAAGATCTATTATTGGAATAAACTAAAAGAAAATACCTTAATGAGGAGGTAGTGTGGTGGGTGGAAGGAACAGGTGTCTTTCTGCATATCATTAGATATTTAATTCTGACATTGCAAGTGTCCAAATACGAATATGCCTGAGATTTTGACTGAATGTGCTTGAGATTTGGGCTGGTACTAAAACGATCCTGGTGGAGTGACCTGTGACAGTGGTGCAAATACCTGTATCATTCATCCTGCCAGACCTTTGCTTGTTCCAGAAGCACATTTGCACTTCTTAAAAATTACTTATTTTCCAGTAAATCAAGAGTGAGTGCAAAGCTGCATTTATGTTTATATAGAAGACTATTTGGATAACAGAGCCTGTAAGATACAGTTGAACTTAAATGCAAACAACAGATAAATTGAGTCCCTATCATGTCTGTAAAGTGCTTTGGGAATTAAAATGTAAAATAAATTGTGCTTCAGCCCTTAAATTTATTTTTACATACTAATTTAATAAACACTTATATAGCTCTTACTATGAGCTAGGCACTGTTTTAAGCACTTTACAAATATTAATTTAATATTTTTTTAAAAGATTTTTTTATTTATTTGACAGACACAGCGAGAGAAGGAACACAAGCAGTGGAGTGGGAGAGGGAGAACCAGGCTTCCTGCTGAGCAGGGAGCCCGATGCGGGGCTCGATCCCAGGACCCCGGGATCATGACCCGAGCCGAAGGCAGATGCCTAACGACTGAGCCACCCAGGTGCCCCAATTTAATCTTTATAATAGCTCTTAGACTCAACAAGGTTCATCTACAAAATAAGAAATTTAATGATTCACTCAGCAGCAAAATCAGTCATTTATCATTTCTCTCTTTTCCATATATATCCTACAAGAGCTAATAAAGAAATACCCAAGTCATTGTATTTAAAAGTTTACATTCCTGAGGCACCTGGGTGGCTCAGCCAGTTGGGCATCCAATTCAGTTTCAGCTCAGGTCATGATCTCAGTGTCGTGGAATTGAGTTCATCTTAGATGGGCTCTGCACTGGGGGTGGAGCCTGCCTGGGATTCTCTCTGTCCCTCTCCCTTTCGAGCTCGCTCTCTTAAAAAACAAAACAAAACAAAAAAAATCTTACATTCCTATTAACAGACAACCTCATGATGTAGAACTTAATATCATAAATGCAGTATCAAGGCTTAATCACTGTTGATTTAAAGCATTGACAATAACAAAAAATAATTGGACAGTTTTTGGAATTTAGTGAAGTAGAGTCAGACCCTTAGTTTTATTACCTGCAAGTAAATGGATTTGGAAGAATAAAGAGTAATGACGTCAAAAGACATCAGTCACGCTGTTGCTTCTACATCAGCCATATCTAATATAGTGTGAATTCATTTGGTGTTGAATAAATGGGGCTCAGCAAACTACACATTTCTAAGTGTCAGCCTTACTTAAGGGAGAGGAGGCTGGTTCATACTCATAATGACTTTGACTAGAAGTAAATGTTTGAGGGTACAACTTGTGGTCTTCACTGCTCTTGGTTATATCTTAAACTTAATTTTTGTAAGAAATGATAATTGAGGTGATTAAATATTGAAAAAGATTTTGTTTTCTCACATATTTAAAAAATCAAATCTGTTATAAAAATGTATTTCTCTTCCTGTGGGTTTAATCTCCATATAGCAGTTTTGAAACTTTAGTCATTTACTTCTGTATCTCTATGTAGTTTTTTTCTAATCTGAGTTTTCTCTGGTGATTTCTCATAGGTTCAGAGAGGATTAGTAATCTACGTGTGTTTTTTCAAGGGAGCTAATAAAGAACTTCTTCCCAAAATGGGTATGTACTTGATGTTTGTTTTTTAAAAGTAAAAATGAGTAGGAACAGATAGATGAACCAGAAGAGGTAAAAACCACAATCTTAAGTTGTACTGGTAAGTTTTAAATGAGTTAACTCTACAGTTGTTGGCTTTAGCTACTTTTGCCTTTTCTAAAGTTTAAAGTAAGCAAGTGTGGTGAGATTCTTTCAAAACATCTGCACCATTTCATATGGCTTATAGATTAGTTTAGGACAGGGTACACACATGCGTGCGCACACAGATAACACACTTGAGATCCAGCCACGTTTCTAGCAGAAACTTGTTAGCAGGGTGGCCACATAGGAAGAAGCAGATGCTTCATTTCTTTCTTTTTTTTTTATTTTTAAGATTTTATTTCTTTATTTGACAGAACAAGTAGGCAGAGCAGCAGGCGGAGGGAGAGGGAGAAGCAGGCTTCCTGCTGAGCAGGGAGCCCAACACGGGGCTCGATCCCAGGACTCTGGGATCATGACCTGAGCAGAAGGCAGACGCTTAACTGACTGAGCCACCCAGGCGCCCCAGATGCTTCATTTCTTAATATAGTTTCCTTAACTCCCACAGTCCCTGACAGGGTCATGTTGGTGACACTGTATGTGCAAGATGTGGGTCCCATCAAATCTGGATAGCTAAGTCTTATATCATTATTAGGAAAATTTTAAATTATTTATGCACCTTTTTTTAAATAAGAAATGTATATAAATATAAGGTTCTCCTGATCTTGAACAAGGTTCAGTGTCATCACAACCGTACCTCCTCCAGGGACAGAAAAGCTGGGTCAGTGTTCAGTTATCTCTGAACACTAATTTACCTGCCTGCAGTTCTCCACTGTCTCTGATAGTCCATAGCACTGCACATTCCTTGTGATAATTACATAGTTTCAGATACACCACATCAAATACTAGATAGTATTTGACAAAATATGTATAAAAAACCTGAGTTAATGAAGTTATCCCTAAGGTTGGGGACAGGTTATATTCTCTTTATTAGTAGCAGACAGCACCCGTTAGTTGGATTAATAAGAAATATAAATTATACAAATGGGTAGTTGTGACATGCAGAAGTTAACCTAGAAGAGCTTCAAGTAGTGGCACTCCAGGGTATATAGCCCAATGAGGAACCTCTGGGGCAAAAGACTAAAATCTCCCAGAGGTAATTTTATACCAAGACATCAAACATGTTTGACAACTTTGTCAGATGAAAATTAGACTTTAAGGACTATGATAGGTAAGGGGGAAAGCCAATAACTGATGGTTTGAAATTTGATTCTGGAAGATAATAGGGAGCTTTCTAGGGTTTAAAGAGAAAATGGGTGCCTGGCTGGCTCAGTCAGTGGAGCATGCAACTCTTGATCTCAGGATCATGAGTTCAAGCCCCATGTTGGGATATAGAGATTACTTTTAAAAAGGGGGAGGGGGGCGCCTGGGTGGCTCAATCGTTTTAAGCGTCTGCCTTCAGTTCAGGTCATGATCCCAGGGTCCTGGGATCGAGCCCCACATCGGGCTCCCTGCTCAGCGGGAAGCCTGCTTCTCCCTCTCTCACTCCCCTTGCTTGTGTTCCTTCTCTCCCTGTGTCTCTCTCTGTCAAATAAATAAATAAAATCCTAAAAAAATAAAATAATAGAGCAAATGAAATGAGGGCTCCTATTACAGAGGATGATTTGCCAAGACCTATTGCTTGGGTATTGGACATTGTGTCCATTTTCCTAAGTTAATATTTTGCCTTGAATTAAGTCTTTATTGACCATAGAAAGTATGGTAGAAATCTACAAAAACAGGAAGAGAATTTTTGTCATTATGACTTAAGATTGACTCCTAAAGTTGTTTCATACTTTCTTAAGTGACTCTTAAGCATAATAAAATGAAATGAGCCAACCAAATCCAAGCTACATTTTGTGTAATAGTAAATAAATCTTGTGTGCTTCCATCTATGTCTAAGTTCATTCTGAATACATACATTAAGACTGTGATGAATTAGGAGGTCTACCTTAACTCTTTTAGTGGACAGTCGAAAATAAAACTGTATATATCACGATTCTCAGTAAAGAACAGAAATTCTATCCCATTCTGCTGGTTGGTGTGAGTTATAAAGAAAAAAAGTCCATCTGTTATTGATAGCATTAGCTTGTACTTCCTTTATTCCAGGAGGCAAAGTAAGCCTGTATGGTGGGATTCTCTTAAATCCCACCTCATACTTATTACATGGATTCAGGTCTTTCTAATCAAATCATGTATCCCTTGGGAACATAACCAGTTATATCCATAAAGTCTGAAGTTACATGGCTAACATAGAGATGTGCAGAATCTTTCTCAGTTCATCTTCAGTATAATTGAACTGAGATCCAGGAACCTGTCAAAGCTTAACTTCCCATATACATCATTGGAGATACTAGATTGATAACCTGTCTTAAGATCTTTGAGTTTCCAACATACCATTGATTCCTTGTCTCATTTTAATTCTACTTACTGACAGTTGTGTTATATTTATTTCTACATACTGATATTTGTATACCAACAACATTAATTGAATTTTCAGTTATAGCCAGTAGAGGGAGGTGTGAGGAAGTATAATAACTTGTACTTACCTCACTCGCCTGTTATTCCAAAATTGTCTACTTAGTCTGTCACTAGCCTGAGGCCTGGCTAGCTGGATAGAGATTTCCCTTGGAAGAAAGTGCCCTGGAGAGTTACAGTTTCCTTAGAAGCAATCAATAACAACTGCTGGCTATATAGCAAAGTCCTATTCATAAGAGAGAAAATTAGAGGTATTTTAAAATAGATATTAGTTGAAAATTGAAAATGCTTAGTGCATACTTTAGGAATTCATTTGGGTGTTCATCTTGGCAGGTTTCTACCAGGTCAATTCCCTGATCTGTAGAGTGGGGCAACCAGACTGAGTCTTTCCTAATATTACTACAAACCTTCCAGTACTTGAAACCATTGACAACCCTACTAGAAAGCATACCTTTTCAAGCCTAATTATTGGGTAGGAGTGTGAGATCTATATAGTTTCTTTTACCATTTGTCCTCTGAGGAATATTTTTTTTTAAGATTTTATTTATTTGAGAGAGAGAGTGTGTGTGTGCAAGCATGGGAAGGGGCAGAGGAAAAGGAGAGAGAGAATCTCAAGCAGACTCCATGCCAAGCATGGAGCCCGAATGGGGGCTTGATCTCAACCACCCTGAGATCATGACTTGAGCTTAAAACAAGAGTTAGATGCTTAACCGACAAACCACCCAGGCGCCCCTGAGGAGTATTCTTTATAAGCAGATGTTATTTATACCCTTTATAGAGTCAAGAAGATCCTAAGGCTATTCGTATTAGGTGTTTCTTTTGTTTACTGTTTTGAAAGTAGCTAATGTTAAGATGTAAAGGTTTTCTAAGTTTAGACTTTTAGCTAGACATAGATATTTATGGCTTTTTTGACAGTTCTTAATAGCTATAAAAGTATAGTGTCATAAATGCCATAAAAATAATAACACCATGTTTTCTTGTGTGTTTATGAACATAATGCCAGTATACCTTTTGATTTACTTTTTTGGTTGTAACAGTGAATTTCTGATGATGCTTGTTTTCAGCTTTACTCCTCTCCCATGGGTTACATCTGTCATATGATTAGACTGTGTTAAATAGTGCCTTTGAGATTATGAAACTGCAAAATTATCTGGTTTATAATCATAATGAACCTGGAACCTTTGTCTCACCTTAGAACTCTAGGCAGTTAAGTTACTCTAAGATTTCTGTTTAATATTCTTTGTTATAAAGCAGAATTTAGTGTGGAGGATTCATCATGGCCTTTTTCCAATGAGATTTGCTTATGGAATATAAAAAGGAACAAAAATGCAAAATCTTTTCATGTATCCCCCTGGGACAACAATATTTTGAGGTTTCAGTATACAGTTAATTTTTAGTCATTACTGCATGAATTTATTGTTAGGAATCTTGACTGCCCAGTTGGATTTAAAACATCATGCCATTTTTTGCATGAAATTTGCCTTATTTTCCTGCTTAGATCATTTAGCTTAGTGAAGCAGTTCTTTAAATCTGAGCAGAGATTTTGGGTAAAAAGCATGAGCCAACAAACTAGATTTTAAACATGAGATTTGCTGACTGGATGATTATTGGTTTTCTTCATGTTTCTCACTTCAAGATGTTTTGCCTTTCTTCCCCACCCAGTTAATACACTGTTAAATGTGAAGTTAAGTGAAACAGAAAACGGTAAGCACGTGTCTATATTGGACCTCCCTGGCAATGTTCTAATCATCCCTCAAGCCACCCTTGGGGGGAGAGTAAAAGGAAGAAACATGCAGTATCACTCTAACTCTGGAAAAGAAGAAGGCTTGGAACTTTATTCCCAATTTGTGACTCTATGTGAAAAAGAACTGGCTGCCAACAGCAAGTGTGCTGAAGCTGGGGTTGTGGTGGAACATGGTACATACGGGAACAGGCAGGTGTTACAGCTGGATACCAATGGACCATACACACACCTAATTGAGTTTTGAAAAATTAAAAAGTTAGTTTCTACAGTTGTTTTCTGGTATAAAATGGTCTCAACTATAATTCGATTTTCTTCCTCTTCTTGAATACCTTAATCTGCAGCATTTTTAGACAAGAAAATCCTGGGTCCTATCCATACCTCTGCAACCTGTTAATTGGATGACCTTGCCTTGCCAAGTCACCAAACTCTGGATCTCATTCACCTTTCATCCTGCTTTCCCCTACACTTCCACTTGAAAACTTGAAAAATGCTTTCTATTCACCTTATAGTCACTGTGTAAATGTTCTTAGAGAGCTGTACTTAAGTATTTTGCATGAAGAATTTTGTGCGATCAAGAAAAATATTTCTTATACCCTCAAATGTATGAAGTATGTAATAAAAATAACTTTGTATTAAAATTAGGTAAAATCCCACACAAACCGATTGCAGTTTTGTCAGTTTTGTTTTACTATTTCAGTTTTCCATATTCTGAATGAAAACAATACATTATTTACTATTCTTTTTAATAATATCTGTGAAAATGTCTAGAAATGTTATTGTGCATTATATTACTTTCCAAGGACATCCAAGTGCTTTAAATTGTTTTAAGAATCTAGTTGAGGGGCGCCTGGGTGGTTCAGTCGGTTAAGCATCTGCCTTCCGCTCAGGTCATGATCCCAGGGTCCTGGGATCAAGTTCCACATCAGGCTCCTTGCTCAGCGGGAAGCCTGCTTCTCCCTATGCCTACCACTCCCCCTGCTTGTGCTCTCTCTCGCTCTCTCTCTGACAAATAAAAAAATCTTTAAAAAAAAAAATAATCTGTAGTTGAGGGGTGCCTGGGTGGCTCAGTCGGTTAAGCGACTGCCTTCAGCTCAGGTTGTGATTTTGGAGTCCTGGGATGGAGCCCTGCACAGGCTCTGTGCTCAGTGATTGGTCTGCCTCTCCCTCTGCCTCTGTGCTCTCTCTCACTCTCAAGCAAATAAGTAAAATCTTAAAAAAAAAATCTTAAGTTGATACAAGAACAAGGTATGAAGATTAAAAAATGTTTTTATTTGGGGCGCCTGGGTGGCTCAGTCATTAGGCGTCTGCCTTCAGCTCAGGTCGTGATGGGATCAAACCCCACATTGGGCTCCCTGCTCCGCGGGAAGCCTGCTTCTCCTCCTCCCACTCCCCCTGCTTGTGTTCCCTCTCTCACTGTGTCTCTCTCTGTCAAATAAAATCTTTTTTAAAAAGTTTTTATTTAATATACCAATTGGTTAATTAATACTTCTTTTTTTTTTTAATGTTTTATTTATTCATGAAAGTCAGAGAGAGAGAGAGAGAGAGAGAGAGGCAGAGGCAGAGGGAGAAGCAGGCTCCCCGCCTAGCAGGGAGCCCGATGCGGGACTCGATCCCAGGACCCTGGGATCATGACCTGAGCCGAAGGCAGACGCTTAACCATCGGAGCCACCCAGGCGCCCTTAATTAATACTTCTGTTTCTCAGTTTTTTTAACCAAAATAATGTATGTCTCATTTTCTGTCCTTGGTTTTTAAAAGTTACTGCTTTGTGAAATTAATGTTTCTAAGTTTTCTAGAAGTCCTTTCTTACTTAGATTGCCATAAAAGGAAGAAAAAGGGAAGCTTTCTACTCTTAATTATTTGGAAACAAGCTGACTTGTTCTTTTCCGTGTTATTTATCTAACAATTTCGAGCCAGTGTGTTTTCTCTTAGTGAATGTTTGTGCCCCACCCCCATTCACATGTTGAAGTCCCCCAACTTGATGGTATTTGGAGATGGGGCTTTGGGAGGTAATTAAGGTTAATGAGATCATAAGAGTGGGTCCCTCATGATGGGATTAGAATCTTCATAAGAGTAACCAGAGAGCTTGCTTGCTCGTTCTCTCTGTTCCCACCATGTGAGGATGCAGTGGGAAGGGGGCTATCTGCAAACTAGGAAGAGAACCCTTATGAGAAACTGACCAGGTTGACACCTTGATCTTGAACTTGCAGCCTCCAGACAGTGAGAAAATAAATTTCTGTTGTTCAAGCCACTCAGTCTATGATATCTTGTTAGGACAACCTGAGCTGATGAAGATAGTGATACAAGATAGACAGCTAATGAGGTAGATTTTTCGGTCAAGAGAAGAAGATATATGAGAAACTGAAAGAATAAATAAATAAAAGATAATATTCAGTTTTTGCAAACTCTTCTGACTTTATTTGAAAAGATATTTTGAAGTGTAAACACCAAATAATATTTCTAATTACCAAAAGATAAAATAACTTGAATAAACATCTTAAGTAGCTGCTAAAAATTCCTTTGTGTCATAATTTCTTTAGGTCTGTCCTCCTAAGATACTTAAAATTTTTGTTATCACGAAAATCCTATTACTCTATATCCTTCCTGTACTATTCTATTTTGGAACTTGAGAATCAATAACTGGCTTGGTGATGAGCTCATTGTCCTTAACTTTTTGCTTTATTGATTCATGATACACTTATTGAAATGTAATAAACTATTCATAAACTTTCAAACTCCAATTTTCTCAAAGCTTCTCTGAGAAGGTGTATATGTCTTTGGCAAAGATTATGTGTTACCTATTTTAAATCATTTTGATTTTGTGTGTAGGTGAAATGCTGACTCATAGCCCTAGATTGCTGTTTTATAGTTTTTTAGAAACAATATGGGTTCAGTTACAGAAAAGACTGTATAAGACAGATTACTGATGAATGTGGTTCTAATATCTTGAATATTCTCATACAAAGTAATATCAAACACACTTACCATTCCTTCATTAGTTCAAGTAAAAAAAGGCCCGTTAATGAATCATATCTGTATTAATGATGATTTATTGACTCCATAATGAAAGAAGTCAACTTATCGATTATAAAGATCAAATGCTATGGAATCCTATGCCACTTGTTTTGTAGAATAAGAACTCACATTGGTGTTTTAAAACAGTGGCATGTCCTATTTTTAATATCTGTGGTTAATATTGCAGAGGGCCTGATTTGTTATATGTAGATGTAGTTAGGGCACCTGGGTGGCTCAGTGGGTTAAGTGTCCAACTCTTAGTTTTGGCTCAGATTGTGGTTGCAGGGTTGTGAGATCAAGCCCCCATCAGGCTGTGGAGTCTGCTTGAGATTCTCTGCCTCTCCCTCTCTGCCCCTCCTCCCGCTCGCATGCGTGCTCTCTCTCTCACTTTCTCTCTCTAAATCTTTAAATGTATTTATTAAGTTTAATCATTCCCAAACAATTAAAAAAAAACTAGAAATGCCTTACCTATTAATTTATTGAAATAATACTCGTTTTAGAAAGGGAATATCTATAGAAAAGTAACATTTTCATTCTGAAGCCACACTGTAGTGACGACTTTAAATGTTTGATAGTCTCCTAATTATTCTCCCTTCCTCCTATTTCTCCTGTCTGTAATCCTTTTTGCAGACAATCTCTAAGGTAATGATCCTAGAACATTCTTTTCTCCATGATATTCCACAGTTCAGAAACTTTTTTATTAAGTTGTTTATTCTAACCCCAGGATAGTTAAATATACAGTGTTATATTACCGTTCAGAAACTTTTATAACCTTTTATCTACAGGTCAAAGTCTAAACTTCTGAAGTTGGAATGAAAGTTCTCCATACTCCTTGGGAGTGAATGAAATCATGCAGGGAGAACTATAGAGAGGACCAATGTCAGAATCGTGGGAAAACATAAAGGAAGAGCAAACAAATGAGAGGCCAGAGAACACTATAGAGATCAGAAATGCAGAGCAAACCCAAAAAATGCAGTATTAACAGAAGATAATTTTCAAGATGTAAACCGTGACAAAATCAGTGCCACATACTAAAGAAAAGCTGGATAACACAAAGACTAAGGAGAGACCTCTAGGCCTAGCAGTTAGGTATTTTCAAGCTTCCAGAAAATTGGTGTTAATTTTACAAGATTCAGTAGAAGTAGAAAAAGATTCTTAATCTTTTGTCCTTGGGCAGAGTGTCTCAAAGTGTGCCAGTGGACCAGGAATCACCTGGGAGCATTTTAACAAAATGCAGTTTTTGAGGACCATCCTAAACATACTCTATTAGAATCTCAGGCCTTAGAATCTGTCTACTCACCAGTGTCCCCCTGGTGATTCTCGTGAACACGGGAATCCCAGAACCACCATTGCTCGGAATGAAGTGCAGACTTATAAGGCTGCTATCACAGTTTTATACTCTGGCTCCAGCTTGACTTTTTTTTTTTTTTTTTAAGATTTTTTTTGAGACACAGAGCGAGAGAAAGAGTGCACATGTGTGCACAAGTGAGGGGGCAGAGGGAGAGTGAAAGGCAGACTCCCCGCTGAGCAAGGAGCCTAGTGCTGGGCTCCATCTTAGAACCCTGAGATCAGGATATGAGCCTAAGGCAGCATTTAACTGACTGAGCCACCCAGGCGCCCCTCCAGCTTGACTTTCTAACCCTTTCTCCCACTACTAATAGAAATTCTCCAATGTAACTCTTACGTTTTTCTTAAATTATGCCCATGCCTGAGTTGCCCTGTGCTTTCCTAAATCCATCACCATTCAATATCTAGCTCAAGTCAATCTCTTCTGATCCCAGAGTAGTTTGTCCTGCCTCTACCTTCCTCCAAATTGTGGTTGTCCCACTCTTGACACTTGTGATAGGTCTTATGAGGTTGAGTACTTTGCCTTTAAATATTTTATGTTTTATGTGTCTTAACTGTAAGAGTATAACTCACATTGGGCAGAACCAACATAATAGCGAGCATACATAACATAGTATAATGTTTTTTGTAATCTCTCACAGTACTTCCACAGAGCTATTTTTGTTGTCCATGCTCATAATTCTCAGTAAATACTACCTGAATCAATATGAACATATGTCGGGCACCTGGGTGGCTCAGTTGATTAAGTGACTGTCTTCAGCTCAGGTCACAATCTCAGGGTCCTGGGATCGAGTCCTGCATCAGGCTTCTTGCTCAGGGGGAGTCTGCTTCTCTCTCTCCCTCTGCTGCTCCCACTGCTTGTGCTTTCTTTGTCTCTCTCTCTCAAATAAATAAATAAAATCTGGTCGCCTGGGTGGCTTAGATGGTTAAGCGTCTGCCTTCGGCTCAGGTCATGATCTCGGGGTCCTGGGATGGAGCCCCGCATTGGGCTCCCTGCTCTGTGGGGAGCCTGCTTCTCCCACTCCCACTACCCCCGCTTGTGTTCCCTCTCTCGCTGTGTCTCTGTCAAATAAAATCTTTTAAAAAATTAAAAATGAAAATAAAAAAATAAAATTTGACCTATTACATCAGCTTTTTCTGAATGTGAAAAGAATTTATGTAGAGGATGCACCACACTCTATTTAACAGTATCTGAGAAACGTTAGCTATAAACAGTTGGGGTTGGGAAAGTAATTGTGGACTTTTTTGAAGGGGGGGATGTTAGAGTTTTTTAGGGAGCATCTGACTGCAAAAATGCCA